GGAATATATTCTAAAATATAAAAATGTTATTATATTTAAAACGATTTTAAATTTTATCACGTTATCTTAATGTTCATTTTTATTTGTAAATAATCAATTTGCTTTAATCTAGAATTTTAGTTTATTGAAGGGCCTTTTGTCTGATTTTAAGAATATGCTTTAAATTGTAAAAAATATTCGAATTAGCTCTCGCCGCGATATAGCCTTGTTGTGCTAATGCGGCGTAAAGCAACCAACAACCAATCAATCAATCAATCATAGATTTTAAAGACCACACTGCTTGCATTTTCTTTGCACTTGTCGAAAAAAAAAGAAACCGGAGAAACCAAACATGCATTCAATCTGTTATATATAAAAAAAATACTCACTCTTCTATTGAACAGATCTTTTTAACGCCTCCTCTGGGCTGATGGCATTCTCCAAGCCATGCTTCCAAGTCTGGAAGCCTTTTTTTTAAGTTGATTTCTGGCAGCTTTAGATGGAGTTTTTGATAAACAGGCAAAGCAATCTTTATAATGCAGTTTTGCAATTTTTTTAATGTCTCTTTTCGATAAATCCTTTGTTATTTCTAACTTTGCGCCCCCAAGGGTGACTGGGGAATAGACACAGAGATATCACAGAGATATGTCTCGCCTTTTTTTTAATTTTGATAATGCAAATGTTGAAATTAAAATTGCAATACTTTAACATGTAAGTTATGCAAATATTCAAAGTCGATGAACGATGACTGAAGGTACATGGCTAAACAATCTCCATGGAATGAGATGTGCCAATGCTAATACAACTGTATACCAAATACCATTGACTTATTATAAGTCGTTCCCTTTAAACAAACCTAAACACAAACATTAACTTGTAAACTATGTAAAAGTTTCAAAGTTAATGAACCATGATCAGAGGTGGGGGCTATATAATCTCCATGGAAACGATACTTGCAAATGCCAATAAATTTGCATACCAAATATCAATGACTTAACATTAGCAGTTCATCTTAAACTGATCTAATCACAAACTAATACATGTAAACTAAGCAAAAGTTTCAAAGTAAATAGACCATGACAGAGGGGGAGGGGCCAAATATTCTCCATGGAAATGAGATGTGCTAATGCTTATACAACTGAACACCAATCAACATTGGCCTACCACTAATGGTTCCCCTTGAACTGACCTAATCACAAACTAATACATGTAAACTTAGCAAAATTTTCAAAGTCTATAGACCATGACTAATAATCTCCATGGAAATGAGATATGCCCATGCTTATACAACTGCATACCAAATATCATTGACCTACTACTAGTGGTTCCCCATAAATTGACCTAATCACAAACTAATACATGTTAACTATGAAAAGTTTCAAAGTCAATAGACCTTGACTGAGGGGGCTGGGCCAAATAATCTCCATGGAAATGAGATGTGCCAATTAATGCTAATACAACTGCATACCAAATATGATTGACCTACCACTAGTGGTTCACCATGAACTAGACCTAATCACAAACTAATACATTGTTGACGCCGACGCCGCCAGAAACAGCATACCTATGTCTCGCTTTTTGATTCCGTCAAGGCGAGACAAAAACTTAGCATGTCAACCTTGATTCAGCAATCTGTATGAGATCAATTGACTGACAGATATTGCAAAATATACACCTTTGACTTTGGTAATAAATAAGCAAACAATTTTTTTTATATAACATTATGTATTTCTAATAGTAAAATTTTCCGTTTCTTTTGCTAGCTGTGATCATGAAAGGCGATATATTTAAATAATATAATAAAACATCTTTAGATTGATTGATGGTTGCTTAACGTCCAGTGGCAAATATTTCATGCATGTTCAGGGTGAGAACAAGTTAACAATAAATACAAAAGGTAGGTCTTGTAATAAAAGAGGCCATCAGGGATGATGGTCGGGAAAACTTATGTTGTTGGCCAAAAATAAAAAACTATTAAATCCCTTTCTGCCAATCCAAACCTACAAGCATAGGTAGGCTATATCAAATAAATATTTTTAATGGCCAGGCCTCACATTCTGTAAAGTAGTTTCAGAGGATTTAAGTTGAAAAACTTTGTGACATATAGGTGTAAAGGATATAAACAAATATTTGTCTCTTCCATAATTGAGGAAATATAATTAAACCACAACTGATGATGATTGCAAAAACTGTTAAAAACTTTAAAACCAACAACTTACTTTCGACAAATAACCATATCCCTCATTTTTCTGAAGAACTGCTGCTGATAACCTATTTTGAAGGGAACATGATCCACCATAATGTCTGAAAGAGAACGATGGATTAATTGATAATTTATTTTGAACATCATTCTAATTTTTATTGTTTCTATTTTAAACTATATCTTAATTGATATAAATTGAATAAAATACTCCGCAGGGCGCAGCTTGATACGACCGCAGAGGTCGAACCCTGAACAGTTGGGGCAAGTATGGACACAACATTCAAGCTTGATACAGCTTTGCATTTGGATTGTGATTAAATATTTGACACAGCATAGGTTTCTGACACAGAATGAATGTGGTCTAAGAACTTAAAAATTTTAAATTGGACATTCACCTATTATGGTCCAATATCCAAAATCTAAATACATGGTTAGATTCAGCATATCAAAGAACCCCAAGAATTAATTTTTGATGAAATCAAACGAAGTTTAATTTTGGACCCTTTTGACCTCAATGTGGACAAAGTTGATAACGGGGCCCAAAAATCAAAAATCTAAATACATGGTTAGATTCAGCTTATCAAAGAACCCCATATATTCAATTTTTGTTTGAAATCAAACAAAGTTTAATTTTGGACCCCGATTTGGACCAACTTGAAAACTGGGCCCATAATCAAAAATCTAAATACATGTTAAGATTCAGCATATCAAAGAACCCTAAGAATTCAATTTTTGTTAAAATCAAACTAAGTTTAATTTTGGACCCTTTGGACCTTAATGTAGACCAATTTGAAAACCGAAGCAAAAACAAAGAATCTAAATACACGGTTAGATTCGGCATATCAAAGAACCCCAATTATTCAATTTTTGATGAAATCAAACAAAGTTTAATTTTGGACCCTTTGGACCTCAATGTTGACCAATTTTAAAACGGGGCCCAAAATCCAAAAACTAAATACACGGTTAGATTCAGCATATTAAAGAACCCCAAGAATTCAAGAATAAAACCCCATTGAAATTGGTCAAGAACTAAGCAATTTATACGAAGTATCTTCTTTTGCACAATACTGTGCAATTAAATATTTCTTGCTATTGCGCAATACTGTACAATTGACAATTTCTTGCTATTGCGCAATATTGTGCTATTGGATATTTCTTGCTATTGGGCAATACTGTGCAATTGAAGATTTCTTGCTATTGCGCAATACTGTGCAATTGAAGATTCCTTGCTACTGTGCAATACTGTGCAATTGAAAATTTCTTGCTATTGCACAATACTTATTATATAATAATTTACACATCCTGTTTTGTGTGTATCTCCTCCCATATCATTATTATTTGCCTTTAAATATAAATCAGAAATAACCAACTTAAAATGGAAAATTTTAAAAGAAAAAAAAAAAGGAAAAAAGGAAAAAAAAAAATCCCCCCCAAATTTTTTGAACCCCCTTATGATTCATCACCCCCAAACTCAATCCCAGCCTTCCCTTTGTGGTATGGTACCTTGCAGTACAATTTCAGAGAGATCCATACACTTGAACACAAGTTATTGTCAGGAAACTGGAAAAATGTGTTTTTTGGCCCCTTTTTGGCCCCAAATTCCTAAACGTTTAGGGCAATTACCCCCAAACTCAAACCCAGCCTTCCCTTTGTGATATGGAACCTTGTAGTACAATTTCAGAAAGACCCATACACTTACACACAAGTTATTGTCCTGAAACTAGAAAAATGCTTGTTTTTTGCCCCTTTTTGGCCCGTAATTCCTAAAATATTGAGGCAATTACCCCCATCATCAATCCCAGCCTTCCCTTTGTGGTATGGTACCTTGCAGTACAATTTCAGAGAGATCCATACACTTGAACACAAGATATTGTCTGGAAACTAGAAAAATGCTTATTTTTGGCCCCTTTTTGGCCCCCAATTCCTAAACGTTTCGGCAATTACCCCCAAACTCAATTCCAGCTTTCCCTTTGTAATATGGAACCTTGTAGTACAATTTCAGATAGATCCATACACTTACACACAAGTTATTGTCATGAAACTAGAAAAATGCTTGTTTTTTGCCCCTTTTTTTGCCCCTAATTCCTAAAATTTTGAGGCAATTACCCCCAAAATCAATCCCAGCATTCCTTTTGTGATATGGAACCTTGTGGTACAATGTCAGAGAGATCCATACACTAACACACAAGTTATGTCTGAAAGTTACAAAAATGCTTATTTTTGGCCCCTTTGTGGCCCCTAATTCCTTTACTGTTGGTACCATAACCCCCAAAATCAATCCCAACCTTCCTTTTGTGGTATTGAACCTTGTGGTAAAATTTCATAGAGATCCATTCACTTAAACTAAAGTTAGAGTGCGAAAACCAATGTGTCTTCGGACGACGCCGGACGACGCCAGACGACGACGACGACGACGCCAACGTCATACCAATATACGACCACAAAAAATTGTTTGCGGTCGTATAAAAACAAATTGAATGAATGCAATAAGATTATTAATGAATATGAATATTCTTAAGAGTACACACAATTAAGAGCTCTGTAGATTGCAAAGCATTTTAAGTATGTACAGCAGTGCAGACTTAAGAACTATGAGTCGACTCAAACACTAAAAGAAATCTTCTGTCCCACATGTGTCCCACATTAAACCAAGTAAGTTCAATTATCTCCCTTGAAATATTTCGGACAAAGATTATACTCCTTCATTTATATCCTCAGGTCTTTAAGTACAAATTAGTAAAGTTTCATCAGTATCAGTCCATTTGTTAAGGAGAAGTTGCATAGAAACCAATTGCATACACATATTGAAATGTCAGAGTCATGCATTAGCCCTTTGTGAATACTGTTGTAGATACCTTGCTTTATGTGCCTTTACAGATACAAGTTGATTAAAACTTTCATTGGCTTGTGTTGATCCTAAATCAGTTATGGACTCACTCCTACTTATCATCTTTCTGACTAAGCTGTTTAACTCCTCCTTTAATCCATCTGATGTTAGTGGTTTCCCATTTGGCAGACTTTTGTACCTAGATACAAAAAAAAAACATTAATCATGCATCTTTTTATGAACATTGCAAGTATGACAATTAGTAAAATTATGTTAAGTTTAACAAGAGGCTCTAAAGAGCATGTGTCGCTCACCTTGGTCAGTGTGTATTAGGCCTAAAAAAAAAAATCCAGTAACACCCTTTTAAAGGTTGGTAGGTAGGGTTTTTTTTTTTTTTTTTTGCCGACGCCATAAAAAAGTTAGGTCGGGTTTACCGGAAACACATATTTTTTTTTAGGCCTTATCAACAAAGGACAATCCCCAAAATTATAGACAGGTCAGGGGTGTGGAAATATTTGTTGTGAGCACTTGTCCCTGGGCAAGTAAAACTGAAAATTTTACTTGTCCAGATAAAAAGTTACATGCCCTGAATTTTCCAATAAGTATTTTACTGTATTAGCTTCTATGATTCTTAAAACTGTTTTGTATCACAATATAAATGAAGTTAATTGTGATATATTTGTTTATGTGTTTAAATAAAAGGAGGACTAGGGTTAACATCATATGAACATCAATGAGACAGAAACCCAACATAAAAAAACCAAGACATCTAGAGGGCAATTTTGCAATGCTTTATCCATTTCCCCCAGACACCTAGTGTTTAATTATACTGTTTTCTTTCATCTGACAAGTTTGGTGTTCTGCAGAGCATTGATGAGTCATCAAAGTGTCCATGTTATCTATTAATTTGCCGACAAATAAGTTTAAAGACTTTTGATCAGCATGTTGTGGGTTAGTTTTCTACAAATTAATCAAAAATTTAATTTATGTTCAGTTTCTTTACTGGAGAGCCAGAGGAAATCTGTAAGCCACGACGTCTGGAATTCTCGCTTGCCTTTTTATACGCCCGTCAAAATTTTGACGGGATGTATTATGGTATACAAATGTCGTCTGTCCGGCGTAAACATGTCGCACCGCACCGTAACTTGAGAACGGCTTATTCAAATTTCATGAAACTTAGCATTGTTGTTTCTTATGATGGTCAAACGATCTGTATACTTTTTGGTGAAAATTAAGTTAAAACTTTTTGAGTTCTTGACTTAGTAACTAAAACAGGTGTGTGTTTTTTTTTCACATGTCGCGCCGTATCGCAAAAATAATTTATGATTATTGCTTAAAACTTTACACACTTCTTAGTTATATTAATCTCAAGATCTGTATACTTTTTGGTGATGATTCAAAATCTTATTTTAGAGATATTGACTTTTCTTTTTAAAAAAGGGGGGTTTTCACATGTCGCGCCGTATCTCTAAAACGATTTATGATTATTGCTTAAAATTTTACACACTTCTTAGTTATATTATTCTAAAAATCTGTTTACTTTTTGATTTTGATTTAAAATTTTATTTTAGAGATATTGAGTTTTTTGTAAAAAAAAGGGGGGGTTTTTTGCATGTTGCGCCGTATGTCAGAAACTATTTATGATTATTGCATAAAAATTCACACACAAGACGACGGGCATATCATGCGCTCATGGCGAAGCTGTTTATTTTTTCATATTGCCGTTCTTTCTCCTCCTGCGTTTTCCGTTTTTAACTCTACAAGTCAATATTATTTTCATTCTTTTTGTCTTAATTACCCGGTCTACGCGTTTTTATCAAGTATTTATCCATCTTGATAGAACTTAATCATGAAAAATTAAAATAACACTTCTGTTAGATAGTGGATGATACCTTATTCACGATACCAGGTCTCTGGACAAAGATAACGCAATGTTAATGAGACCCGGTTCCTATACTTATTTTTTTAAATTTTGGTTATCGATCTATTTCCAGTTATATTTTACTACTTGTCGTCATGAACACTGATATTTTGAGTTAAATAAATGTTTTTCATGTGTTGATCATTGGTTTCTTTTACATAAAATAATACATCTTAGTAAGTTGTGAAAATACTTCTATATTTTTGAATAAATTAAATTCTGTCTAGTGTATTTTTTTCTGTCCACGGGCAACCCAGACAAAGAAAATTAATTGTCCGGTTGTTCAAATGTACAAGTCGGGCGAGTCAGGCATAGCATTTACACAACCCTGATACCAAAACAGAATTTATTACAAAAATCTCTTTTTTGTTGATTATCCTGTAGTCTGTTTAGTTTCTCTCTATCTTCCGTTATATATCGGCCATATTTGACTTGTTATTAGATGTTGACTGGCTCATCATTTTTATACAACCGCAAAAAATTTTTGCGGTCATATATTGGTATCATGATGTTGTCGTTGTCCGCGTCGTCCGAAGACACTTAGTTTCCGGACAATAACTTTAGTTTAATATGTTTAAGTGTATGGATCGCTTTGAAATTTAAACAAAAGGTTTGAAACCACAATATGAAGGTTGGGATTGATTTTGGGGGTTATGGTCTCAATAGTTTAGGAGTTAAGTGCCTAAAAAGAGGACCAAATAAGCATTTTTCTAGTTTTCAGACAATAACTTGTGTGTAAGTGTATGGATCTTTCTGAAATTGTACCACAAGGTTCCATGCCAAAAAAGGAAGGTTGGGATTGATTTTGGTTGTTGTGGCCCTATCTGTTTAGGAATTAGGTGTCAAAAAGGGGCCAAAAACAATACTTTTCTTATACTTTGTATAAATTGCATATTTCTTGACCAATTTCAATGGGGTTTTAATCTTGAATTCTTGGGATTCTTTAATATGCTGAATCTAACTGTGTATTAAGTTTTTGGATTTTGGGCCCCTTTTTTTAAATTGGTCCACATTGAGGTCCAAAGGGTCCAAAATTAAACTTTGATTTCATCAAAAATTGAATTATTGGGGTTCTTTGATATGCCAAATCTAACCGTGTATTTAGATTCTTAATTTTTGGTTCTGTTTTCAAATTGGTCTACAGGGTCCAACATTAAACTTTGATTGTAACAAAAATTGAATTTTTGCGGTTCTTTGATATGCTGAATCTAAACATGTATTTAGATTTTTGATTATGGGCCTAGTTTTCAAGTTGGTCCAAATCGGGGTCCAAAATTAAACTTTGTTTGATTTCAACAAAAATTGAATATATGGGGTTCTTTTATATGCTGAATCTAACCGTGTATTAAGTTTTTGGATTTTGGGCCCCTTTTTTCAAATTGGTCCACATTGAGGTCCACAGGGTCCAAAATTAAACTTTTGATTTCATCAAAAATTGAATTATTGGGGTTCTTTAATATGCCGAATCTAACCGTGTATTTAGATTCTTAATTTTTAGTTCCGTTTTCAAATTGGTCAACATTAAGGTCCAAAGGGTCCAAAATTAAACTTAAGTTTGATTTTAACAAAAATTGAATTCTTGCGGTTCTTTGGTATGCTGAATTTGACCATGTATTTAGATTTTGGATATTGGACCATAATAGGTAAATGTCCAATTTAAAATTTTAAAGTTTTTAGACCATATTCATTCTGTGTCAGAAACCTATGCTGTGTCAAATATTTCATCACAATCCAAATTCAGAGCTGCATCAAGCTTGAATGTTGTGTCCATACTTGCCCCAACTGTTTAGGTTTTGACCTCTGTGGTCGTATCAAGGTGCACCCTACGTAGCATTTTATTTAATTTAAAATGTCTATATATCTAAAATAATTTATTGTCATTTACAGCAAACGCAAAAATGGAAAAATGGTCAATAATGGGCAATAACTCCAATTAGGAGATGTCAAACTATTTCCTTCATTGCCTAATAGTAGATCTTGTCTTGCTGATAATCCTTACTAATATAATGAGTTATTGTGCTTACTTGAAATTTTCAGGATTTGTGTTATATGTACACCAGTCAACATCTTCACATTTCTCATGACTACCAAAAACATGTGGCACAATTCTTTCCAGATTACTTTTGATGTCATTTTCTGTCTTTCCTCCCTTTATTGCATACATAAAACATCTCAAAATGTACTGCCTGGTTTCATCTTTCTGCAACTCCCTGTAACTGCAATATAAATTATTAAATAAATGTGCATGCAGAGAACATATTACACTGCAAGTTGCAACAAGTTTATTTAAATTTGTGTGCTAATCACTAAGTTGACTTACAGCCTGCTATTTTTTTTTAGTTTAGCTTCGTCAGCAAATGATTAAAAGGGTCATTAGCTTACTGTTTCTTGATTAGTTCTTCGTTTGTTAGTTAACACCAAACTTAATAATAAAAAAACACACAATTTTGTTTCATAAGTACTAGTTTTGTATTAAAACTCCAGTTTTGGGACTCATTTTTTTCTGTTTGATTAAAAGTTTATGCTGAATAATTTATAACATTTATTTTAAAAAGAAACCTGTAACCAGGAAAGTGGAAGGTTATCATGTTTACTGGAATTGGTGCGACCAAATAAAAACAGCAAACAGAAAGCAGAAAAAAATAGTTATGACTACAGGGTTACTTAACTTTTTATTCTGTGTGGCAACCCCCACTTTTTAAGATTAAATCTCTATTTCACATTAATACATACATGATATGCACATGTAATTTTTTTTCTATGTAGCATTTCATTTTTAAAAAAATTCAAAGATCAGCCGTTTAGCAGTCAATTACCAGACAGTAACCAGAAATGCAATAGGAAGATAACTCTTTAAAAATTATGCATATCAATGAATATAATGTAGGTATAATAAAAAAAGTGCATTTTAAAAGCTCAAAGTCTTGATGTTGGAATATACATATATTTTTGGTATTCACTGCAGTTTATTATATATAATTCAAATGACTAAAAAAATTAATAAGAAAAATCAAATATGCAGATGAAATGATGCCAGTGTTTTTTTTAATCCCCTTCATTGTTGAATATATATAAATGTGTCATTTTATAATATTGTAGTTAAAAAAAAAATCAAGATGTTCATATAATTATTTAATGTTAAAAAATCCTGATTTGTCCATACAAGACTAGTTTTTAAACCACATGTCTGTTTTTTTAAATGTTTGTTCTTTTGTTTGTTACCAAATATAATACAGTTAGAGTCATCCTTTTCATAAAGTTTGTATACAGTTTTGTTTATGGGCCATCCACCATCTACCTCTGAGTGTGATGATTCCTCAATGTTCACTGAAAACTCATTAATTGTTCTCCATGGGCATAAACTTCACTCTTTTGTTGTGCTGTTGTTTTTTAGACGCTTTCAAATGACCATTCTTTAACATGCATAACATTTCTACTACCGTAATTGGTTTTTTTTTCAAAAATTGTTGATTAACAGAAGTATATACCTTTTAGAAATATTATGCAAGCTTGTAGATATCCCTTTTTTGACATGGTTCTGGTCGTCCTTTTTTGAAATGTTGTCAAACTCAACTTGAAGTCTTGCTGTTGTTGATGCATCATTATCAGCATGCACAACTGAAACAGAATATGAATTATACATAAAGAACTAAACTTTAGGACCAGAAAAGTTTTGGCAAATTGAAATTTTCATTAAACATGATGAACATACCCTAATCATTGAGAATTTTAAGAAGATTGAGTTGTGCTTACAAGGTTCTGTTTTTATGATTAGTTAATGGTTCATGCTTTACTGAGTTAACTTTAACGTTGAATTTGTATAGAGATTTAACAGTCAATTGAACACGCTTCGTTAACATAGACATAAAATGGACATGAAATCAGGGATGATCTAATGTTATTGCAACTGCATGCATATTATAATAGTGGATATCATCTTTCATTGATATAGAATTACTGGTTCATGTTAAACTTTAGCTTATCCCATTTGTGAACACAAAAGTCATTGGCAAAACCAGAAAGGCAATACCTTAGTGTCACCTTTTGGCTTAATTCATCATATAACATAACTCTTGTTGCTTTATTGTTAACATATTATTAACCTTTGATTTCACATCCATCATCTTTCAACCTGTGAGCCATTGCTACAGCCATATCAGCCTCCATGGCTTTACTTGATCCATGCCAATTTGATTGACAGTCATGATCTGGAACAGTCTCTTTTCTGGATTGGTGGTACTCACAGGTCTTACATGTTTTACTCCTTAAATCAAATGACAGTACTTTCCCAGATTCTTTTCCAATAAAGGTTGAGTGTCCTGTAGAAAGTTAAAATGTACTAATTGTGTGATCAAACATTTTCCTAATGAGCATCACTTACATAATTCTTTTTTGTTAGAGGCAAAAAGAAGTCCTAATTTCCAAGAAATGTATGTGTCCATTGTACTCTGCTGCCCTGCTTACAGTATCATTTACAATGTTCAGTGGGTCAGAAGACTTATATGGCATACAATTTAGAAAGATAACATGACAAGACACATGTGTACTAAGTTTCAAGTTGATGTGACGTAATTCAACTTTATCAAAAACTAACTTGACCAGAAACTTTAACCAGATTCTGGATGGACAGAGTGACATACACACAGATTCGATAAAAATTAAAATACTAATGTAGCAATTACTGTAGTTCACCGACACATTCAGTTCTATTATTTAGGTACATCATTACAGTTTATGAACCCATCTAAAGTGAACCCCTTCATGGCTGAAGATTTAATTTGTATTTATATATATATATTAAGTTAACAGTTTACACAGGTTCAAAGAACATTGAAACTAATATAGTCCACTGAAAAAAAACTTTGACCTCAAACTTATTGCATTAACAAATCATACCATAGGAAACCACCAAATTACATTATTAAAATCTCCTAAAAGGGGGAGGTTACGAGGGGTGTCATCCATTTTTAATAGACTGGAAAAAGGCTGAATTTCACAATGTTTTCTTGAAAAATGAAATATCTGGCTTTCCCAGATCCTGAGAAATTAATCGTTAATTCCTGAATCAAGGGTAAATTTAAAATCCAGATGTCCTGATTTAGGCCCATTAACCTCTGTTCTTAGAAATGTTCAATGGCACAGGGGAGGTTACTCTTGCGAAAAGTAGGATTTGTCTTTTTTTGGTGCTGATCGCAACATTTTACTTAATTTATATAGATCTCTAGTTAGATCAAAACTAGATTATGGCTCTATAGTGTATGGCTCTGCAAGGAAGTCCTACATACAGATTCTCGATGCTGTGCATCATCAGGGTTTGCGTCTCTGTCTTGGCGCATTTAAAACCTCACCAGTTGAGAGTCTATATGTAGAGGCTGATGAGCACTCACTCTCTAACAGACGTTTGAAGCTTGGACTTCAATATGCTGTCAAACTAAAAGCCTACTCAGATAATCCTGCCTACAGCTGTGTTTTTAATCCAATTTATGAAGATATTTTTGCAAAACATGAAAATAAAATTCCTCCGTTAGGTATACGTTTAAAATCACATTTAGCTTCTTTTGATTTAAAATCTGTTGCTCAAGTTGAAACTTGCAAATGTCCTCCATGGGAACTTCCCAAACCAAAAATGATATTTGATCTCCGTGAACACAATAAAAATAAAACAAATCCTCTTTTAATTCAGCAACACTATGCTGAAATCAAAGCCAATTATTTAGATTTTTCAACTGTCTATACTGATGAATCAAAAGATGGTGACAGAGTTGCATCTGCTGCTGTCTTCAGGGACAGAGCTGCAACTCTCCGCTTGCCATCTGATGCATCGATCTTTACTGCTGAAGCAGAAGCAATAATTTTGGCTTTGAAATTTATTGCTTCTTCAGATAAATCCAAATTTATTATATGTTCTGATTCACTTTCATGCTTACAAGCTATACAAAATACTAAAATTAAAAACCCAACAATTCTCAAAATTTTATATGTAATGAGGAATTTAAAAATTCTTCTTAAAGAAATATTATTTCTATGGGTGCCGAGTCATGTTGGAATCCTTGGAAACACAGCTGTAGACCTTGAGGCAAAGAATGCCCTGGGTGACCCTTTATCTAACTGTGATATACCATATACCGATTTTAAATCTAATATTAGAGAATATGTTTTTAATATATTGAAAAATGAATGGAGTAAAAAAGATGGTAATAAATTACATGAAATTAAACCTAATTTATGTAAACCTTTCAATAATTTTATGTGCAGAAAAGATCAGTGTGTTATTTCTAGATGTCGTATTGGTCATACTAGAATAACACACGAATATCTTTTAAAAAATGAAGTAGAACCACAATGTATACCTTGTAACTGCAAGTATACTATTAAACATGTTTTAATCAATTGTATTGACTTTGCTGATATTCGGGAGAAGCATTTCAATGTCAATAATATGAAAGATTTATTTAATAATATTCCATTTATTTAATAATATTCCATTTACAAATATTGTTTCATTCTTAAAAGAAATTGGAATATATTATAAAATATAAAAATGTTGTTGTATTTAAAACGATTTTAATTTTTATCACGTTATCATAGTGTTGATTTTTATTTGTAAATAATCAATTTGCTTTAGTCTAGAATTTTAGTTTATTGAAAGACCTTTTGTCTGATTTTAAAAATATACCTTAAATTGTTATAATATTCGAATTAGCTCTCGCCGCGATATAGCCTTTCTGTGCTAATGCGGCGTAAAGCAAACAACAATCAATCAATCAATTTTTTGTCTTCTGCTTGTTAAGATACTTCCATGGACCAAACTGGCTTAATTTGACTTATTACTACTAGTATATATTCTGATTTTTATAATACAATTACAAGAATATTCATTTCATATTTTAACTAAAATTGGTTTACTTTTCTGTAAGTAAATCATATTTATTAAATACACAAAAAAAACACATTAATTTGTTATGTTCCAATATTAGTTTGAGGTTTAAGAGTAAATTTTTGCTAGGTTGTTTGGATTTATTAAGTTGGGTTTTTACTGGTTTTACTGGTATACATCATGCATACCAATATTAATTCTTACCTGTATTACTATTGTAATTCCATCCAGAGCCTCTCTTCTGCCAACCACCATCAAAACTAGCTTCAACCTACCAAAATATAATTTTATTTCTAGTATTATGCATACATGTAAATAAGATTTGAAAGAAAGTCTATAGGCAGCATGTAAGACAAGGTAAATGACAATTATATTCTTTCCTTTTTTTTTAAATTAATTGGTAGAAAGTTTTTTGAACGTATAATTTTGATATATGAATCAATATTGGATATTTGTAGAAATAAAATATGTTTATAAAAAAGAGCAATTAAAATCCTTTTTATAGTCTGTAACTATATATAAGAACATCAAATCAGATATATAAGTGCAAATCATAGAGGAATTCTGGCTTATTTTCATAGTGTCCAATATTTTATACCCTTTGGTCTAGAGTTTAGCAGTAAATAGTAAGTAAACATGAAACCTGACTGAAAAAAAGTTTTATATGTTTGTTCTTCTGTTGTGATGTAGAACGGGTTTGGATCCAGCAAATTCATTAAACCATTAAAATTTATGACGTTATTCAACCAAATTAAACGTTACAAACCATGTTGCATTAGAATAAAATTTAGTTTTCTTAATCAATTAAACACATTATTTATTAAACTTACATTACTATTGTTACTCTGCGCTTTTTCTTCTTCCTGTGCAGTTCTGCAAGATCTGTTTGCAACTTCCCCAATCTGTTTACTAAGCTCCTTCTCCTTCTTCCTCAAAGTGTTTTCACTGATAGATGGCAAATTACATTCAGCAAGAAAGTTTTGTAGATGGGTAGGTCCTATTCCTGCATGTATCATTCCTGCAATGCATGAAGATGTAAGTGAATAAAGATATAGGAATAATGCATGTTTTTCTCTAAACAAAATTTTTATTTTTAGGTATGAGATATTTTCAAAGGCTTTTGAATATATATAAAATTGAGAATGGAAATGGGGAATGTGTCAAAGAGACAACAACCCGACCATAGAGCGGACAATATATTTGTTTGTTGAATAAAAATGCTCTGATACATGTACCTGTATATATGTTGTTTTATGATATTGACCATTGGCATAGTAGTGGGAGGTTACTGTTTGAGAGTGACTAAATAAATTTATCCCTGACTTTATGTTTCTAGGATTTGGATTGGTTAGCGCAGTTAAAATGTCAAATTCTCAAATTTCAATAAAATAGTTTTAAATAATTAAAAAATGTTACACTTTGTGGTCCAATTTCTCTTAAAACTACTGTTTTCTGACTAAGACTGGGGAAACATTCTTTATCTACGTTTATAATCCGTAGATATGGATATTTTAACACCTTTCAGTACCCGATACACCCTTGGGCTTTGCCTCACGGTGTACTTGGATACTTCAGTGTGTTGAAATATCCATATCTACGCATATGAAAGTAGATAATTTAATTATAGTCTCCTTGGTTTAAAATGCTTGGTCAGTGGTTGTATCTCACTTATAAATACTCCATTTTAGAGCATATTTGGTATTTTAATACAATGTATACTTTTTGCACTGGATTTGTCATTAGGGCAATTAAGAGCTGTCAGCATATGGTGTATATAGTTTCTGCTTTATTGAAGACATTGATGTGGTCTTTGTATGAATCATTTGTATAAATTCATGCTTAATGTTTGAAAAGAAATATATATTTCATTCATCAAACCAAAGATATCTATTTTTATTGTTATTATTGTTAACCATGAATTATAAATCTAAAACAATCCTGAAAAAAATATTATTGAATTGAACAAATTCTTCTACCTTGTGCAAGGTTTTTTTTTCTTACCTTGTTCACAAATCTGGCTTGAGAAGTTAACTTTTTAATTTTCAAATTCATGGGGAGAAGTTTAAAATAATTGCTTACAAGAATAAGGCCAAAATTTAAAAAATGTTTAATTATTAAGAGACAAATATAGGGGGCCTAGGCCCTCCTTTTGTGTGAAAAATTTGGTGGATTATTTAGGGATCACTGTAGCATGACTGGAACATGCTCCCTCTTACTGCAGTCAGGGGGGGGGGGGCTGTTGATTCACTACTGCTATTTGCTCTTCTCTACAGAGTGAGACTCAAATTCAAACATTAACAACAAAGTTCAAAAAAAGATATTTAGAAATGTTTCTTATTTTGCACAAAATTGGATTTAAGATTTTGCATTCAAGCTTTGAGTATGGATCGAGGGGAGTATACAGGTACAATCTACTAGCTATAGAAGATCCTGGTTGAACTTGATTAGGTTTGTTTATAGTTTCTGCTAAAAATTGTATTATTGCCAACCAAATGAAAGTCTTCCACAGAGTCGTCTGCTCTTGACCAGGGTATTTAAACTTTTGTCTATTCTCTTGTCCTATTGAATAAATACAATAGCTATTGTTCTCTGTGTAGTTTTTTCACTGGGACCTTTAAATTTCTTCCAGAAGAAATCTATCACTCATTGATTAATTTACCTGACCAAAAAATTATCTTCTTTTTTGGGGGAAATCGTTGTATAAACACGCATAAACTGCATGCAATATTGTATTTAATCAATATCAATAATATATTTTCAATCTGTTCAATGTAAACACTGATTTAATTATAAAAAGTTTATTTCTGACAAAATTTTAAGTATTGTTCCAATGAATTTGCATGTTTTTGTTGTTGTTCAGTTATAGAATACATTTATCAAGACCTTAATTTAAACACAATAATTTTCAAGTTTTTATTTGTCAAACACACAAAAAAAAGCAAATTTTAATAAGGAAAATATAAAAGATTTGTTCAGAAATCAACTTTTAATTTTTGAATCAGTGTTTATATTGAAACAATTAAAAATGAATTATTGATATTGAATAAATACAAAACAAAAAACAAATAAACAAACAACACCACATGCAGTTTTTTTTAGTCCTTATTTAGTATTTGTACATGTATTTCCATTTTTGACAGTTCAATTTTTTGTTCAGGTAAATTAATCAGAAGTGATAGATTTCTCTTGGAAGAAATTTAAAGGTCCCATCAAATAAACTACACAGAGAACAATAGCTATTGTATTTATTAGATGGGACAAAAGAACTTACAAAAGTTTAAATCGACGGGTAACTTGCAGGTGAGTCTGTGGAAAAGTATCATTGGGTTCCCAATAACTAAATGTAAACCTACCTATGGCTGCTTTTGTGTTGATATCATAACTTCCAGTTGGTCCTCTTTTCCCTGTCTGGACATCTGTCACTGTGTCACAAAGTTCACAACGAATCATAATAATGCCACTTAGGCCAAATAGCTTTTCCCCTACTGTATTGGACAGGTGTAGAGGGGACTTACAAATACAGCAGTACATTCCCACTGCAAGAAGGTCTAATTCAACAATCCTCCTCCCCACAACCCAGGACTGTTGTTTCCCATAAGTTGGATCAGTGATCTCAGCCTCTGCTGCTATATCTGTGTGGTCATGAATGTAGTTGAAGTGGTCATTAAATAAGCCAACTATTTCGGGGTCCTTCTTCTTCCCTTCATTTGACCACTTGAAAAAATCGGACCTCTTGTTTTTCTTTTTTACATTAACTTTGCCTTGAAATTTGCCTGTTTTGTCTCTTTGCTGATTCATTTATGGAAAAATTTGTAACTATTTATAGATTAAGGTAGATTTTTAACAAGATTAACGAATTACAATAGCCTGATCGTCTGCTCTTAGCAACAAGTAAACATTCTGATCTGGATCTTTAAAAGTCTTGCATATTGCATGCAATTTTAAAACGCTACAATGAAACAGACCAAAGAGTTAGAGTTATCTTTCTTAGGTGTTGTGTACCCCCTTAAATTGTTATAATATTCGAATTAGCTCTCGCCGCGATATAGCCTTTCTGTGCTAATGCGGCGTAAAGCAAACAACAATCAATCAATCAATTTTGTGGATGTTGATGTTAGTGAGAGTACAGGTTCTGTAGTTGTGAATATGTCTGATGGTTTTGTGGATGTTGATGTTAGTGAGAGTACAGGTTCTGTAGTTGTGAGTATGTCTGATGGTTTTGTGGATGTTGATGTAAGTGAGAGTATAGGTTCTGTAGTTTTGAGTATGTCTGATGGTTTTGTGGATGTTGATTTAAGTGAGAGTACAGGTTCTGTAGTTGTCACTGTAGGAATGATTTATTCGGTAAGCAGATCTGAAAAATAAATATTGAACGTATTCAGAAAATACAACCTTGTCAAAAAAGAGTCATTGTTTCAGCCAACCATTCACACTTCCTACAATCCACACGATTTTTTGTTACCAGTCTACTGGTATTTTCCTTCTCTGTTGTTTGCTGTATTTTGACCCTTTCTCAAGGAATAGTGGTATTGAAAGTGTCTTTAAAAAGATAAATAGTGTGGTCTTATCTCGTTGTATTGCATATGAAAAATGGAAGTAAACAGAGAAAAAAAATCAGAATAAATCGACCACTGCCTGGACCGTCTCATTTTCTTAGTCCCATAACCGGCCGCTTTATACAGGTTTTACTTTCTTGAATGCCATGGATGTAGTGCTTGCGGGCACTCTAGGTGACTGCTCCCCCTCCTGAAATAAAAAAAGAATTTTTTATGACGCCTGCGCACGAAGTAAGTCTATACTCTGTTGCATCACCCGTTACATCCAGAACATTGGCGTTCACCAAAATCCTGTTGCTTTGATCATCTACGATCGCATATGATGTTATTGTTTTATTTGGACAGTCTGATCTGCGAATTTTAACTTGAACTATCTTTACACAAGATTTGCCAGAAAATTGTTGTTTACAGATTTGTGTACATTTTATTACCGCATCCTGTTCCGGTATGGTATGATTATTTTTCTCCTCACCATGATTGACTCTCGGTTTATGTTCTAAGTGCATTGCTGATGAATGAGATTCATTTCCACATCCTTCACAAGGAACTTTTTCTTTACAGTCCTTGGACTTAAGTTGATCTGAATTACAGCATTTAAAACAAATGTCCACGCAAGAACTTCTTGCGGTCCTCAAAGGATTTTTCCTTGAATCCGCGACAACTGTTGAGACTATGATTCGTGTTATGCAGTGGACATGTTTTACTGACTTGATTTCTTTCAGGTTTAGTTTCGGTTTTGTTAACTGCGATTTGAGATCGACCATGATTGTTACGAGGAAATTTTTCCTTTTCCTTTACAGTTGTTGGAGTACTTTATGACTCATTTATGTATGAAAAACCAGGATCATTTTTCATCTTTGTCATGTCGCGCATTAATTCTACAAGGCAAGAGAATGGTGGAAATGTTACATGGTGCTTTGTTTTATATCTATGAGCATGGCTTGTCCACTTCTCTTGTAGACTGTGATTGATTGATTGATTGTTGGTTGCTTAACGTCCAGTGGCAAATATTTCATGCATATTCAGGACGAGAACAAGTTCACAATAAATACAATAGGTAGGTTCTGTAATAGATTAAGGGATTAAGGTCGGAGAAATTTAGACTGCCACGGGAAATGAGGGTATATTGGATAGGGACAGAAATTTAACCTTGCAACAGGTCACCTACGGACCCTTCAAAGAGTTGTTGCAAGTGTTCTTAACGTGCAAAGAGCGTGGCACTCTCTTTACACGAGGCATCGGATTTAACGTCCCCATTCTGACCGGACGTGGCTGCAAATTTGTACATCCCGCACAGCCAAACGGACGCCCCACTTTAGCACGGGTTTTACTGCCGGTCGGAGGAAGACCAATGGTGACCATACTTCTATTCCCCAGTCACCCTTGGGGTGTAGACTGTGAGGCAGTTTGCCAATAATCGGTAGGACACCTGATGACGAGTTGTAATATCCAAGCAGGGATTGATATTTTGGATCGGTCATTAGCGATTCAATCTCACATAAAATATCCAGTAGCTCATAAAGTTTGATATTTTCTTTGTTTGTAAGACGTGGAAATTTTGAGAGCTAACAATTCCGAACTCCCATATAGTTTGTCAAGCCTTTCCCAAATTTGCTGTAATGCTCGTTAAGGGTTATACGTATTAGCAGAACGAATGCTTAGAGCGTACTTGTAAGATTGCGGTCCTAACCACTTTGATAATAAATGTAACTCTTCAATATCAGTTGTTGATAGTTCTTGCATAATTCCCTTGAATTGAACCTTCCAGAAGTTTCTGGTCGATCATTAAAACAGGACAGTCTAGAAATAAGTATGTCTTTCTTAAGTAGAAGCTTTGTTAGATCTTGAATTTGATAATTTTGCACACTCAAGTTTTGAAATTGCGGATTAGATTCTATGACCAATAAACAAACAATATAGTCCTATAATCATAGGAACCTAGCACTAATATAGAATGAATAACATTATCAACAATTTTAAGCATATATCTTATCTATAACAAGGAAATAACATATTTACAGCATAAAAGAAATATAAAAAAATATATGCCATGGGATATCTTGTCACAATTACCCCCTGTTAAAATATGTGTCCCCACAAATTGGACGGACTAGAATTAAACTACTCACTGTAAGGTTTAATCCTTTAAAAGCACCCCAAGGGTGACTGGGGAATAGAAGTATGGTCACCATTGGTCTTCCTCCGACCGGCGGTAAAACCCTCGTCAAAGTGGGGCGTCCGTTTGGCTGTGCGGGATGTACAAATTTGCAGCCACGTCCGGTCAGAATGGGGACGTTAAATCCGATGCCTCGTGTAAAGAGAGTGCCACGCTCTTTGCACGTTAAGAACCCTTGCAACAACTCTTTGAGGGGTCCGTAGGTGACCTGTTGCAAGGCTAAATTTCTGTCCCCATCCAATATACCCTCATTTCCCGTGGCAGTCTAACTTTCTCCGACCTCAATCCCAGACGCCTCTATTACAGAACCTACCTACATTGTATTGTATTTATTGTTAATTTGTTCTCGTCCTGAATATGCATGAAATATTTGCCACTGGACGTTAAGCAACCAACAATCAATCAATCAATCCTTTAAGAGCCTTTCCCATTTTTCTAAATTTATTACATGCAAACAGTTATCTTACAAAATATCAAAATTTTGTTGTTGTTACCAAAATTTTTATCCAGCTCATTATGACAAGAATCCAGTCATAAATAAATTAATAAAGTAAAGTTAAAAAAGTAAAGGTACGTTTCTTAAAAAAAGCATCAGTTTTACAATAATTTTTTAACTTATAATAGTTTGCACAGTAAAAATAATCTCTAAAATTTCTTGGGTTTCCTTTTCTATCACAGTTCAACCATAATCGACAACTATTATCCCAGTATTTATCATATCATATTTTTTTACTTTAAATAAATAAAATGATTAAATACACAATAATAAATGACCACCCCTTTAACATTACTATATGTAAGACATAGCTAAATCTAAAATTAATTTTTCAGACCTAAATGCTATTAATTTTATGAATCTAGAAGAAAATGATTGAACCAAAAGGTATGTTTAATTTAGGTGAAAACAATTATGAAATTGAACTTGGTTTATGATTATTTTTTTAAATACTAATTTTTAAATAAAACCATTATCTTACTGACCAAAATTAAAAAAATTCCTTTAATTTCCCTTATGTGATTTTGAATGAATTTCATGATATTCCCTTTAACTTAAAATATTTAACCCAAAAATTTAAGTACAATATATGCTCATTTTCTTCTCTTTGCAGGTGGTAGTGGGTGTCCAAAGGTTTGTCTCATAGACGTAGACGTCCGGCGTCTTTGCTGGATTCTTGATCTGTTTACGATGGTAGTTCTGCAGCTGGCTAATACTTTCCCTTGTCTTGGCATGTTCAGCAGCTGTGTTTTCAAGTAAGGTCGATATTGACTGCTTCACCTCTCCCACAGCAGAACACCCAGATAACGAAGACGATGATGATGATAAAGAATTTGGGGGAGTGCACTGACTTAATGGTACACCATTCCACTCTGTTAGCTGATGGTATAGCAGGAAGGTTACTGGCACCCAACAACTGAGGCAGTAGATTTTCCTCTTCCTCAATCTCTCGGTCTCGCATGATTATATTTCGTACTGGAAATGCCAATTCTGGAGTGGATACCGCAGGAGATTCCGGAAGGTAAAATAAAATCAATGATGCAGTCTGGTTTTTCCTGAATAATTCCATCCACAATGTTACTTTCTGTTGCTGGCAGTGTTTGTGATCCTTGTAAAGATGGTGATGACCAATTTCCTGTAGTAAAATCAATAGGTGGTGGCGGTAATGAAGATGAAGTGTCTGAAGGTTGTTTAAATTTGAAAAACTGGCCTGGTTCTGTATGCGGCATTAAGGAAGGAATATTCACAGTGGCCATTTCTGGGATTACAGGTAATGTTGGAGGCGATTCACCAGTGCTGCTTCCTGAGTTTACTTGAACAGGATCCACCGTGGTGTCCAAACCTGGCCTCTGCCTTGGCAACAATCAGAAATCCCTCACTGCCTCTGGGAAGTATGGTGACTCCGAAATAAGGAAATCGTCATTGTCAGGTGACGACTCTTGAAGACCAGCTTTCAAAGTCTGGTGGGGCATATGGAAATTAACGTGCTGCTGCAGGGTGTTCAGATTGGTGCACCTGAACCGACAGAGGGTACAATAGTAGGGTGTTCTGGATACGGATACATGGTTTACCAATATGTGGGTAATGACTCTATGTTTCTACCCCATATATGCCGGTACAACTGTGCAAAGGAGACAAATGGTTGCTCTTCTTTTGGCTCTGGCATCTCATTTACAAAGAGTATTGGACCTTTAGAAATCTTGTCCAGTTTAATTGATTTGGTCCCTGAAATAACCTGGCAGTGTATCAGAAGTTTGTTTTAGCAGTTAAGAACTTTGTTTTTCAACAATTTTCATCCACCAGGGTATGTTTTCACCTATCTAAGGTTTCAGTTTCTTATGATTTATCACTTTTACCGTAAAATTTGGATGTGTAATACAATTTTAATAAGTATAAGTTTAATAAGTACAGCCAAATTTACTAATCAAATCTTTGTATCTGAGAAAGAATTTAGTAAAAGTTTTAAGTAATAAATGGTAACGAAATCCCTGACTGAATAATTTACCAGTGATGCATTGATTACGTTCATTTAAATCTATGACATCACTACACACACGGGCTTACCGAACGGGATATATAAACACCATATGATGGAGCCAAAGGCACAACACCGTCTAAAAAGGAAAAGAAACAATAGGGAATGAAATATCGTCTCTATTGTCGTAAATTGTAGTATGGAGTTTTACCTTTAGAAATTGAAATGTCTAAATCTAGAAAAGGACATCTGCTGCTGTTTATGTTAGATTTAGTTGAAGTAAGTTCTTTTGGTTAAATTTTGGTAGTAAAGTTAGATAACTCTGGATTATTCAACGAAAAAATATCATCCAGATAACGGTAGGTATTGTTGAATGTATCAACCAAATGTAAAAATGATGTGTCTCTACTGAGTTTGATCAAAAACTGAGCAAATAGCAATACAGAAATAAATCTGCTATTAAAGGGGCGCAGTAAGTGCCCATAGGAATACCTACTACCTGACGATACACTTTATCGCCGAAACGTACATATATGTTATCTAGGAGAAAATTCAAAGCTTCAATCATATCCTTACATTTCCAGTAATTGTATCTAGCATACTTTCCTTTTTCGTTACAGAAAAGGCTTTAAACGAGTTACATCAAATAAATTTACTTAGAGATTTTTCGAAAGACCATTTTATTAAATACGAAAACTTTTTCTTAATTAGATTGTGTGGAAGTGTAGAGTAGAGAGTAGACAAATCATAACTGGCAACAGAATTGAAATAAACCATCAAAATCATGTATTTTATCTAAAATCTTTAAGAATTTTTAACACTCTAAAAATAATTAATACCATTATTTTCATAAGCTTTATTACATAAAAGTTAATGCACAGATATGTTAATGTTTTTTATAAACACCATTACAGATTATTATAAATTATGTCTTGCATGACCCAAACGTTGTTCAATACTAATGACACTCTGCGCAAAATACCATGGACAGTTGATTCTCCTAAATTAAAAGTCCAAAACAATGGCTTAATTGCCTTATAGACTCCTGATTTGCTAAATAACACAAGATCGCCAACAGCTGTTTTTGAGGTGGTGTTTGTTCAACTCCACCGCCATGCATACTTATCAAATCGGGTGTTATGCGCTGTAAAATCTCATAAAATACTGCTCTACTGACTCTATAATGAGTAACAAACCCTTGTAGATTTCGAAAAAAAAGCAGGCTAATGCCGCTACAAGGCAGCACTCGCACCCGCAAAGTGGAAAGGGATTAATATAAGTTGCAAAACTTGTTTCCCAATCCACTATAAATAAATATGTTTAAACTAACAAAATCCTCAAGAAATTTGGGAATTGTGTGTTCTGAATTATAGGTATGCAAGTTCTATTCTTTAGTTTCAAAAGTGCAAGTAAGATTGTTGTAGAGGTCGTGTTGTGAGAAATAATCAGTTCACTGTCATCGTCGAGCCAAAGATCCAAAAAATATTAACAATTCGAACGGGACAAGAGCATCGTCTGCCATATTGAAGAGTATTTATAGATAGCAAAACCCGCATCGTATGGTGGACTGGGTGATGTCATACCTTTGAGACCCGAGAGTTTCAAATGAAGTCTGCAACTGATGGTTCCGATATGGGTTGAGTCTGTAGTTGTGTCTAAAATAAATTCTCCAATCATGACTTAATTTCATCAAAAACTACCTCGACCAAAAATGTGAATTTCGCCATGTTAGTAGGTATCGACTACTTATAGAAACTTGATGCTTGAACATTAAACAAAGAAACATGAACCAGGAATGATATCACCAGCACTTATCCATCGGCAGCGAGTTAGTAGTGCTCGTTTTGTTTCCTTGATGTATACTGCCTCTTAATTTTAATTGTATAAGTGCATTTGCGTTGTCAGCGTGTTACTTGTTAGAAAAACATTATATACAAAATATTATCATTTTCAATTAACATTTAAACATAGTATATTTTCATCAAATGGCAATATGTAATAGAGCAATGAATTCAGCCAAAGCTTATTTCACAGCAAACTCTCATTCTTGTGCATTATATAAACATATATAAAAGATGTTTTTGTGTACGTTAATGTAGTATAAAAAATTCTCAAAATATGTAAATTGGCTTATTGATATTATTCACAAATTTAATATGTATATACAAATACTGTTTCGATCCCTAACATCACTGAAGATACATTGATTGTCAAAATCCGGATATGGTGTACTAATTTTTGCACCTTTTGTTTGCGGTATACCATCTTTACTGCAAGTTTATTGTTTTCTGTTTGGTATTAAATTCATCCATTTTGTTACATCTTGCGATCCGTTTATTTGGCAATCGCCAATGTCAGTCAGCAGGGTTTAAGAACATCAGTTATTCGACCTGTTAGTCAAATGGGTTTTGTTAAAATTTGTCATATCTAGAAAGCAAGTGGTGGTACCAGAAACATATTAAAAGCAGTTCATGTCGGTTGTTCTATAAATTATCATCTCGAGCTCATCACTGGCATCGTTATTCATCTTTCTGGGTTTTTTTTACATCCATTCTAAAGTTTAAAATAAGACAACGCACTTTATACCATCAACTGGAACTCATCTTCGACAGTTCGTGAAGCACAAAACTATAATATGAATTTGACGTAAATACACGGACACGACTGGAAACACCATTTTTCAATCTTTCAAGAACCATAACTCCTAAAGGTATAAAACCACTAATTCATAGCCCCATTGCTTTCTATGTTAAAATCTGCAATTTCAAGCATTAATGGCTAATTTGTCTTAAGTTCAAATAAAGTAGCAGTTATTTCATGTCAAAACTATACCTTATCCTGACTTGTGCTGAAAAATTCAACATACCTTTAATTGCATTTTAGAGCGTACTGGTTCCCGGAAGTTTGATAGTACAAAAACAGGTACTTCTGATCTGAACAACAGGGCAAATGTGCCCTCCTATTAAAATTGTATATACTTCTTTATTATTCAAAAGAAACTTTCAACACGGGTTCTACAGTGATCCCAAGTCCCAAAGCTTTCATTTGATACCAAAACTACCCAAATATTCCACCTATTGACAAAGATAAAGCTATGCGTAGGAACTATTTTGTTTAAAATATGTACTACTTTCTTGTATGTTCTTTCCGACCGGGCCTTAATTAGTGGTTCTATACCTATAACAGCACCTAACTTGTTATATTGACTTCTGCTTGACTTAATTTCTTTCTATGATCTATTTCTAGCATAGAAAAACACATAAAGCTTTAGTCAAAACACAATATCACTGAATTCAAGCTCAAATTGGACTGGTAGTAATATATGCGTTATACAAAGAAAACTCCATATGGATACTAATAGTGACAGATATGACACTTTTTCAATGTTTACCAGTTATTATTTGTTAATATCTACTCAAATAGCAGTGTCCTTACATATCTGTTTTATTTTTATCAAAGATTCTTCCTTGAATATAAATACAGTGGTCCAAACATAAAAAAATAATAGATAATTTTGACCCCCCTTTTTTCTACATGTTGAAAAAGGAGAGTGATTTGGTAAAAACCATACTTTTATGTATAAACATGGATCAACAAGAGCAATTTATGTATCTCCCAGTTAGACAACTTGCTAAACTGGTTATAAAATGCATTTCAAGTGAGATTTGGGAAATCCTATATAAGTATACACTCACTAGATAATTTGACCAAAAGCAATATTTATACTATTAACTAGTCAAAATGTACATGTTTCATTGGTTTCAGTCTTAGGTAATGCAAAAATTCAAACATCAGGTAAAATCTTAACTGTGTGCATGCTAAATGATCCAAAAAGGCTGATATACCTTATTGTAGCAATTTGAGGGTTGTAATTTGACACCAACATAATTGTTACATAAAAAAAATAATGTAACATGATTACTGACAACAAATGTGACTAAATTTCATTGTAAAGGGTGTCATTTCTAAAAATAGAATTTCACATGCCTTTCAGTAATAGGTATAAAACCACTAATTCATAGCCCCATTGCTTTCTATGTTAAATTCTGCAATTTCAAGCATTAATGGCTAATTTGTCTTAAGTTCAAATAAAGTAGCAGTTATTTCATGTCAAAACTATACCTTATCCTGACTTGTGCTGAAAAATTCAACATACCTTTAATTGCATTTTAGAGCGTACTGGTTCCCGGAAGTTTGATAGTACAAAAACAGGTACTTCTGATCTGAACAACAGGGCAAATGTGCCCTCCTATT